GCTATTGTACCAATTGATGCTGACTTCCTCGTGTCACGGCCATAATCATGTAAGCTAATAATTACATATAGAAATAGGTAGAAGTAAGTAAAAGTAGATAAAAGTAAGTTAATCCTATAATATTTAATATAGAAGCTTCCTAGAAACTTCCTAGACGCTGCTTTGACTTCATAGGTGTCTTTAATTGACTTTTTGGATTAGAAACGTGGTCAACAAGTTGGCCATGTGCCACACATGTTGTTAGCTTGAAGATCAAACTAACTATGTGGTCCACACATAGAAAAACTTGCCTTGTAAGTCAAGGCATGTGTCCTACAAAATCAACACATATTGGAGGTCCTATAGAACGTCGCCACGTAGCCCTTAGTTAGATAGTATATATAGAGACAAGAGTGAAGGCTTCTTCACTCTTGTAAACTCCTTTCTTGCTTCTAGTCCAGGTTCAAGAGTCTTTAGTTTCTTGTCTTGTGGCAATAGCCATTCCAGTTTCCTTTTAATATACCTACTTGTTTATATTTTGACTTATTATATCGAGATAGCCTTTTTGTGTATATTTTCCCTCATCGAGTCTTTGTCCTTGATAGTAAGTCTATGGCGCAATCATATGGTCTGTATTTCGGTAGCATGTCGGCATTTTTCTTTTGAAACACGTCTTTAAAATCCTTATATTGCTCCGGTATACCATCTGTCGAGATCTTCTCCCCGGTAGTTGGAGCCGCATAAATGACAAATGGTGTGCCTCCCTTAGACAATCTTATAAATGCTCTTGCTCCAATAAATAAGAATTTCTCTATTCGGGGTTTTCTACTAGGCTTGCTCTTGGGTGGTTTTGTGGGAAAGGTCATCTTCCGCAACTTCCAATCTATGGATGGGTTATGCTTTTCCAACTAGGAAAGACCAAAAATAACAGGATTTGATGGGGTTCTAATAATATTGAAAATAATATGACTACTATGGTCCTTAAACATCACTTCTATAGGTTCTGATTCATGGGTGACACTACCAAACAATAAAGGTCGTCCATCTATGACCTCAACGTGAACATGTTTGGATTTTTGTACTAAAAGGATCTTGTGACGCTTTACAAATTCTTCATCTAAGAAAAAAGCAGATGCTCCTGAATGTAATAATGCTAAGGTTCTCAGTTTCTGAGGGCCAATAAGCAAAGGGATTGTAAAACAAAGGGCAGGTTGAGCGGAAAGAAAGGAACCTGGTTGTTGTTGCGATATTTCCCTATCCAGCCGCACAGTTCCTATTGTGGCTGGGCATCTTCATTTTCCTGAATAAACGCACCCCTAGTCTTGATAATATGTCGATTTTGCTTCTTGGGGTAGCTTCCAACTTTGTGGCCTTCTTCACCGCAATACAAGCATAGACCTTCCTCCATACGCCGCTTTTTTTTTTCTAGAGTAAGAGATTTGACACGTACCGCATCAATTTGCATGTCTTCTACCTTTGAATGTGAATTCACGCTGCTTGCCGACATAGTTGGAGTGTGGTGAACCGTATGTTGTCTTAAACGTTGGTCTTGGCAACGTTGGAATAGGTGGTTATCGCACTTCACAGCTTGGTTAATAGCTTCATTGAGCGTTTGCAGATCAGGAAGAGTTAACAGCAAATCCTTCACATCGTCCCTTAAACTCGAATAGAATTGACTCATCAACGCTTCTTCGTCCCAATTGATGTCGCATGCTAATTGCCTGAAGTCCGATGCATAGATTGATGTAGAATGCATCTCTTGTTGTAGTGACTGGATCTTTATTGTAGTCCATCGAATCTTGTCGTATTCACCAAATGCTTCCGCAAATGCCTCCAAAAAGGTTTCAAAGTTATTTAGTATGCACGATCATTTCTCAAACAAAGGAGCAAACCATGATAGAGCTTGTCCTGTAAGTAAGGTTCTAACAAGCCCAACACGTGATTCTTCCGTTGGATAGCGTTCGGACTGTAAAACTATTATCAACCTGATTTGGTTGACGAATCCTCGAAACTTGGAACGTGTACCATCGAACTTGTCCGGAAGACTAACTCGGGGTTCCTTATGTTGTAGAACCAACGGTGCTTGTCGAACCTGAGGCAAAGTTGCTTCTCCAAGTGTGGAAGTTTGAGGCTGGTGCAACCTAGATTGTGCCATCCCAGATGCTCCATCATTATGAAGCCTTGCCATGACTCCTTCAATCTCTGCAGTTCTTTGCGATAACGTAGCGAGGACATTCATGATAGCATCTAACTTGGACTCTGAACTTTTTGTCATACTAATGTCTTCGCCCCCGACCATTCTAAGAGAAGGAGAGAAATGACTCTACAAGAAGACAATATTGGTTTAGAGGAGGGTACTCCACAACCTCTAAAATGCCTTAAGAGCTTCAAAAAAAGGGGTAATCCACTCTCTCCAAGAAGAATAAGACTCCAATATTGTAACAAAAGAAGTATCAGTTTAGAGGAGGGTAATCCGCAACCTCTAAAGTGCTAGTACACTTCCAAGCAAAGGGATAATTCACACTCTAATAAAGAAGAAACTAGCTCTGATATCTGAGGTGAGTGAAGTCTCGATAAACTGTCACGGACACAGAAATACAGACTCGAGATCTAACAAGAAGTTCAAGAAGAACTGGCAAGAACTAGATTAATCAGATGAGAACAATACCAGAGAGGTGAGCTAGAGCTCCAAGAGATGTGTTGTCGAGACTGAAGAACTCTTCAGCCTTGATCCCAATATATACTCCTACTTAGGAAGCTTCTCAAGCAACTTCTACCAACTAAGAAGCTTCTAGAAGGTTTCAGAGACTTGCTTCTAGAAGGTTCTAGAAGCTTGTCTCTAGAAGGTTCTAGAAACTTGTCTCTAGAAGGTTCTAAGGACTATGTCCCTAACAACTTGCTATATTAGAGAACAAGCAAACAATTTATTTTTCATAAAAGCTATTGTATTCTCAATTTCTAAATTATTTTTTTTAACTTTCTAGATCTACAAACTTAAAAACATACTCAATACGACAAAATACTCCAAACATCCATGGATTCAACTTCCAAAACTGAAAATATAACAAACTTAGAAATACAATTGTAGATCAAATAATCATAATTGGATGATTATGATTGAGAAAGAACACTATGTTTGTAAATGACCTTCAAGAGATTTATATATATATATATATATATATATATATATATATCTACAAATATATTTATTTTAAAAACCAATAATAGTTAAACCTATAAATAATTGCAAGTTGCTAATATGAGATGCTGTAACTAGCTACAAAGACCCATCCACCATACAAAACATTATTTTTATTTAACTACAAAATTAAGACTAAATTCTACATTAAAATTGAACTTTAATCTAATTTTAATGTTATAATTAAATTCTGCAATTTAAATCAATTTCAATTCTAAATTCTATTAATATTTAAATTTTATATTTATAATGTTAATTTCTGTCTTTGACAAATATTTTAATATGATATAGTTGAAGTTGTAGTCATCTTTTGTCATATCAAATTATCTTGAAGTTTTTTAGCTTACAGTTTGCAACTCTTTTTGAATATTATAATAACCAATGAAATAATTTTCTAATTTTTGACATAATTTATCCATCTTACCACTTCTTAATCTTTTTATACAAAAATAAATTTTTTGATTGCTACCTCAAATCTCTACATATGACAACACGTTTTAAAATGCAATAATCAGATAGTCTTTATAGTTTTTTTTTTTTTATTTTCATATTGTAATTTTTATATTTTTTATTTTTAAATAATAAATTTATCTTATATTGTAAAATTATAAATAAAATAAAATAAATCAGGTTTATCATGATATAAACCTATGCTTGTTAAACCAAAAAAATTATGCCCCATCATCTAAAATCATAAAAGGCCATGTAAAAATGTATGTATGTTTGTATGTGTTTCTATATATATATATATATATATATATTATTTCCTTCTTATAATTAATTTTATGTCTTTTTTTTAACACATCAACAATTAATCATTCAAAATTTATAAAAACCTTCTAAATCTACAAGTTTTAAATAACAAAAGATAAATTTGTCTGTGATTATTTGATTATATAAGACTCACATGGAATTGAAGTACAAAAAATATAGAGGAATGATAAAGCAACCCAAATTTTTACTAAAACAACCCACTCTATCTTAACCATCATTACACCCTTGTAGCCCCCATCCCTATTCTTAGCCATTTCCCATTCCCAACTATTGCTAAGGATGGAGGCAGGGGATTGAGAACATCAAGAATGGGGGTGACAGTTGGGAACAGGGGAATGGAGATGGTTAAAACATGTGTGACGATTTAGTAAAAATTTGGGTTACTTTATCATTTCCCAAAAAATATTATAAAAACACATGATGAAGTATCATTATTGTATAGAAACAATCAACTTCCTTGCGTATCAGACCTTGGTAAGTGCCACTTAATACATTGCCCCAATAAAAACCCATTATGCCTAGAGAACAAAGAAGAAGAAGCAGGTAGGTGGCACATGTGGGAAACTTCACATTTCAGCACCACGCGCTTCTGGCTTTCGGCCCTAAAGCACCAAAAAAGTCTCACAGATCTTTCACTCTTAGGCAGGAATAAAGCACAGTTCTGGGTAGCTCGGTCCAAAGATACCAATCTTAACAAATAAAAAGGGGGACCCAAGACCGAGAGAGGCCTTGTTTCTTTACTGCGAAGCGTGTCCTGTACTCTCTGATGTGGTCTTGGGTCCCACTCCTTCGCCCAGCCTACCTCATGCCAAAAGCTATCGGCTGGGAGTTTTTTCTGACACTATAAGACTGACAATTTAAATAATCGACGTGGACCGCCCAGGTCGATTATTCAGAGGTGGAGAAGAGTACGTGGGCAGGTCATGGGGCTGTCGGGTGCCAGGCTGGATGGAAGATGGGGCATGGGTGTCGTCGGTGCAGTGTGAATGAAGCAGGGGTTTGGCAACAAGGCCCTCGTGTGCGCTCCTTGAAAACGGTTATCACAAGGCGTTTGCTGTAGTTTGCCGCGTTTGATAGAGTAGTCGCGTTAGCAGGAGAATGGTCATAAAAAAACTTTGTAGGAATTTTTTTTAGTGTTGTTGTAGCTGCTTATGGTTATATTATTTTATGTAAGAAAGATCTTCTCGAAATGATGATTTTGTTTGCAGTTGCTACTAGCGTAGTTGGTAGGGTCGATGACGGTGTGGAGCAGTGGGAAGGAAAACGAGCAGCGAGGGGCTTTGGGGAGAAGCCCCGACCCGTAATGGGAGTTGTTTCCAGAGCTTCAACCTTCTGCAGATGATCTAGTCTGCAGTGAGCTAGTGGGGGGAGTCTTTGGAGTTCAGGGACTTGCTTGAAGTCAATTTTGAGGCTGATCACGGTTGACGGAGACTTCCTTGACTTGTTCGGTGGCGTAAGGGTGCTGGTGCCGATATACTGCGCGAACTTGGAGGTGACCTAGTTGAAAATCATTCCGGTTTCATGCATTTTGTAAAATTTTGTGTAAAGTTCAGCGAGAGTTTATGACGGAGTGCTCTGAGATGAGCGAGACCAGGAAGGGAGCAGTATCATTGGCAACAGAAATCATTCTGCTCTAGAGTTGTGATTATCCTCTTCGTAGAGACTGTAGTCTGCCTCCACGAAGGGACACATTTACAGCTAAACAATTTTGTCACTATGGATTTGCTCTATTGAGAGATGAGGAAATAGCTCCATTAAATTTACCTTGCGACTGCAAGGCATGTACCAAACGCTCCGTATCCTTGTAGCTTTCGGTATGGAAAGTTCTACCTACATTTTGCAGTGCTAGTAAGTCCTTTTCTCTTCTTAAAGCTGAGTGATACATACTAATTAATTGGCAGTATTAGTGATTTAGATGCATACCTTGAGGCGTCATTTAATATCATCATGACATTTGTTTCGATTTAGGACATACCAGTTAAACGTTAAAATATACCTTGAGGCGTCATTTAATATCATCATGATAAATAGTCATCCGTAAGCGTTAAAATATACTATCTAGATTGTCGACGAGAATTAGTGTGTTCTTATTAATCTTCGATTCCTCCATTCGATTTGTCGATGATTTCGGATAGAACGACTTGGTGGAGATCATCATATAAAATGCAATTCTGAGCGGATTATTTAACGGTGTGTATTATTGGATTCAACAGGTTTGTATTCAATAACTAATTGGAAAATATCGCTACAATTCTTGTCGGAGAAGTGCTTTTAATTGTGCATCAACCATGGAAGATGTGGATACCGATGGCTTGATTATGGAATTTGAAGCTTGTCCCGACGATCCCGTCTCTGTTGATTCCAAAATGGACCTTACACCACGGCGGAAGCCTCTTACGTACAGTTGTATGAATTTGAAGGATGAAGAAGCTTGGCCATTCTTGGTGGAATACTTTGGCGTTGCATATGCCTTCGCAGCACTTGGAGCTCTGATCCATAACACAAGAAAGGTGAAGAATGAAATGGATATAACTAGTTCTCATGTTCAGAAGATGGCTCTTGTATCCATGTTGGCGAGGGCCATGGGCTGGTTGCATATACTAGCTCTAAATGCTCAGCTATTGCGCGAGAAATTGTCAGCATCAGAAGAAGCCAGACACAGAGACGGTTTATCTTGGAAGGAAGAAATAGCGGTACTTGTACATAAAAAAGAAAGATCTGAATTGGAGGTTTTCGAACTGAAGAAGAGACGGGAGGAGGACTCCAAAGCAAATGAGAAAGTTGTGCGTATTTATGCTGGCCAAGAGCAGTCCTGGAAGAGTGAAAGGAAGAAGTTGCGTCATGAAATAAACCTCTTGAGGAAGGATCTGTTTAAGGCTGAAGTCGGAGAGATCTGTGGATTTAAGTTGAATACGAAAGGAATCAGTTGCGAGATGTGTGACCAGAAGGACAAACACGCGAAGCAGCTTGAATTAGCGCTTAGTGAGAAGGAGTTTCTTCTCATGACGGCCATCGAGGAAGCTCGTTTGGCAGATCGAGAACACAAGGAGATCAGAGAGAGACTAGCTGAGGCAGAGTTAGTTGAGGTCCAGTTAAGTAAGAAATTGGACAAGGAGGTTGCAGCTTCCGTTGAACAGGATCTTCTTCTTTCCGAAGTGAAAGAAAATCAGATGGAAGTTGAAGGCAGATTTAAAAGTTTACTTGAAGAGCTCAATACCACCAGGATAAATTTGAGTACTTCTAATTTTGAATTAGAAAGGATTTTGAGCGAGACGGAGTACCTGAAGAAGGAATTACAGAAGAAAGATGCTGCAGTCAGTTCATTGATGGAACAAGCAAGGGTCAAATCTGACGAAATGGAGGATCTTGTTCGAAAGCTTGCACAACTTCGTGAAGAGAAAAAAATTGCAGAAGTAGCAGGAGAGAATTGGAGATGGATTCCAGAAGAAACTGTCTGTTCAAGAGTGATGGGGGCGAAGGTGCAATCTATCACGCAACTGGAGGAGATTCATTGGCATGAAGTGGAATCGTATGAGAGGCAACTCAGGGTCAAGGATGAAAGAATTTCAGCTCTTAGATCAAAATTATTAGCGGTGGAATCAGCGTTAATTCATCCAAAGTCCCAATCTCATGAGCTGAAACTTGAAATATCAGCGAAGAATCTGAACTGTACCACTTTGGCTTTGTACGATGACGTGAAGACTGCCCATGACCTCACAGTGGACCTTGAAAACTTCAATTCTACTGTGAACCAAGTATTAATGAAATTGCATCAGGAGTTCGATGAAGCTAAGTAAGGCTAAAATCTAATTCATCTCACTCTCGATGTCTGATGCAGATTTTTGGCATACTATGCGGCTTAAATAAGAATGATTGTCATTTTCACAATACATTTATGAAATGGAACTTGAAAAAATGAAGCTAAATTCAGAGTTTCTGAATAAATCAATGATTAAGAAGAATCATCGCACACTCATGTAGTTTCAGTTGGAAAAACCCAGGGTTTTCTAGATTGTATCAGATCATAGATTGTTAACTCTTAGTATATACATGCCAAGTCTCACGCTTCTTTTCTGTTAAATCAAAATTCTGAACTTACTGGAAGCTTATCTCCGTTATGGATTTTAGGGAGAAGCTAAGGGATCAGGTCCTAAAATACAAGACCAAGCTTTCTAAACTTAGAGAAAGAACAGAGGCTGAGCTTCAACAGAAAGACCTGCAATTGGCCTCCACAGAAGCGAAATTATGTCAAGTTTTGTTGCAGTTGGCTAAAACGAAACGAAACGAGGAGTTGATAACTTTTGACCACAGCGAGGAGAAGGTAATTTGTTCTTTTGTACATTTAAATATTTTTTGGGATTCTTCAGTTAACGAAAATGTTTGTGCAAATAATAACGTTGACGTAGATGAAACAAAATATCGCAAATAAAATCTGACGACTTTCATATCACAAAGAATTTCTAATATTTATTATTTCCTGGCAAATTTTGTAGATCTTTTTACAGTACATTGGTGAGGACGATCAGGAATTGTTGCTCACGAACAACAAAGGGTTTGAGAAATCTAAAACAGCAAGCCAGACATCTGAAAACTTGATACCAGATGATCAGAAAAATGAAGGGGAAATTTCTTTCGAAGGGCAACTTTACAAAGAAAATATGTTTCTTGGTTTTGAGTTTTTAGAGCAGAAGATGGTCTCAAAGACAGAGAAGAATAATAGTCTTGACAGTGTCCAACTTCAGAACGCTTCGAGACTACAAAGATACGACAGCTTTTCACTGACGTCAGATCCGAGGTCATTGTCTTCACGAGGCCGAATTGCCGAGAAGACACCACAAACATCTCAGTATGCAATAGAATCTTCTTTCGCCACAACAGCTCAAGTTTTAAAAGAGGGGAATGACTCAGAATCGTCAAGAAACCTCTACTGGTTTCGCAGCTCTGTTAAGAGAAAGCGAGAAAGCATGAACAAAACACATGATGATTTTAAAGCAGATCCAATTTGCACAAGCCGGACTAGGGATATAGATGACTTTTCACCACTGGTAAGCAATGCGAGGAATCCTTTCGACTACATGGTAAGCAGATGCCTGGATTTGCAGTGTAACAGCTCGCTTCTCATGTGTTCCTGCAGAAATAGGAGCATTGCGCCGAGTCACCATTGAATTGCATAACCTATGATGGAGATGCGAACTTTTTTTTCGGTGACCGAGATGGACTCAAATTTTTAAGTGCTGTGAAACAGATTCCTGTTAACAGAACACAACTCACAGATGCAGACCTGCCCAGTGCGTCGGAACATCACTCCAGGAATTCTTTATCAACTATTAAACCGGGATTACAAGGTCCCTCATCTCCAGTTTTTTCTGGGATGATTACGAAAAGGTTGATAATACAATTGTGGCATCTTGTGTGACTTTTCATATTCAAATTTTTTAATCAAACACCGACGGAGAGGATGAAGAGATTTTAGCATGCATTTTTCAATAACTTATAAAATCCGTGCACAAATTCTCGAAGAGCTGTTCTAGCAAAAGGATTGTTGCTGTAGATAAAAAAAAATTAAGAAAAGGCAGACCAAATGCTGAAACCACCTATGCTGTACACATCTAATTGAGCTTTAAACTTGTGCTTTAAGGACTGACGTACGTACGAGAGAGGACATCGAAATTTTGGGTCTGGCATTGGAAGTAAAGAGGATAGATCAGCAGCTTGCAGAGATGGTGAAAGCTGGAGGCGTTGAACAGTCGGATACAGTTCAGTTTCTGATACCAACAACCATGGTTGTCTCAACAAACACCAGCCAGAATACCAAACGGTCCCAAGGGTTAGCAGGGAGAGTTTGCCGTCTCGCAAAACATATGGTGAGAAACTGTTTGTCACGCTTGTGAGTAAATACAGTTTCACCTTTTTTATACACAATTTGAATGTGTAAAATGTTGCGTATTAGCATGCGAATCATCACAACGAAATTGAAACTAGTTCCTGAGCTAGCTGCGGTTCTATTGCCTAATTTCAAAGTATACTTGAAAATCTTCAGCGTAAAATTCTGATTCGATTTGATGCATCGTTGTAAGTTTTATAGTAGCCGTATCGTGACGTACCAGTGATGCATTGTCTAAACCTGCAGGGCTTTACTGGACCCCTACCCGCTGCGGTTATCAATTCATGCATCGATGTGAACGGAATTTGCACTCAAGATCCTGTAAAAACAAAACAAAATGCATATATGATTTCTCAATCGTCTGAACTACCTTCAACAAACGACTTGGCCATCTTACAATGGAGAGCGAAGGTAGTGAGCGAAAAGCTTCTCGCGATTCAAACCAAACTGGTGAAGTACAATTCTTCTGGTTCTTCATTATTTCCAACGGAGCAGTTGCTGGACGCTGTACAAGCACACCTTTCGCAGGTCAAGATGGCATTACGTGCAAGAATGAGAACGATCAACCCAGAGCCGAGTTCTTCAGCTCCCGCCAAACTTGAAAAGGTGAGCAACTTAAGCATGACTTTTCTCGAATATGGTTTGTTTTCATTGTGGTGAATAGATTAGGAATTTTTTTGGATCCTGCAACACTGAATCTCACAGTGACAACAAATGCCTTGATGGCAACGGGACTTAATTTCTGATTATTAGTAACGATTTATTTTGAAGATGTGACAAAATAGTTTGACACTAGAATTAGCAAAGATAGCCATGGGCGGTTATTTCGACATCTTTCATACTCAATATAATATCTTACATACTGGAAAATTACTGAAGGATCGCATATGCCCTGATAGGCTACCTTGGTTTCAGACTTCCTAAAATGGCACCTCCATATATTATGCCAATTACAGGTCCATTCCATGACCATGAATAGGGAGAAATACAAAAGTAGAGGCGCATTTGGAAGAGGGCCGGAATACAGATCTTCTAAGTACCATTTGTATGCACAATCTCTGCTCTTTTACTTTATTTTGAATTCTGTTTTTACAACGCCCATAAACCTAGAATTTATGTTAAAAATTTCAGAAGCAATTTCATCTCTAAGGGCCTTTGCTTTTTGATCCTGACAGAATAATGTCTAATAAGTCATGCACACATGGAGGAAAACTTGCTGTCCTCTGGTAGGAAAGTGAGGCTTATGCATTTTAATCACTTGCTATGATGTGTGCCAGAATATTTCACATGCTTGCTAAATTGATTTGCTATCATTTCTTCCTTAAACTGAGATTGTGTATCAGATGCAGATTGGATGGGGAGGCTCATCACCTGACAAGGAAAGCCAAAACTCAAACTTTTTTGCAAAAGTTGGTTATGCAACTGCATTAATACTTCACTCATCAGCAGGAGAGAATGGCGAGGAACCAAGTTGGACAAAAGGGGACATTGAGCTGTAGCAATGTCTAGCACCTTCAAGCCAGTAGTGGAGAACAAAGGGTCAAGACCAAACAAAGAATTTTTCTGGAAAGCAAGACAAATCAATTTGGAATACATTTATTAGTGCGCTGAATCGCTGTAGTATTTCATATACAAGGCATCTCTCATAATGACTTGACGTGAAAGATCTTCAGGGGCTACGTGTTACCTGAACAGATTGGCCGTCTCAGTCGCGACCGCAGAGTTCATGGACGCAGTTCGTACTAAACTGAAGCGTCCGGTGTTAAGAAATGCCAGAATGCGTGCGACCAATTATGTGAAGACTGCTGTGAGAAAATGTAACGGGCGGCAATTGTTTTTAAACACTGCTCAAAAAATCATTTCACTACGACCAGAAAGCTCTGTAAGCTCGACTTTAAAACTTCATGTAGAGTCTACTTCTAATTTTTTTTAAATTCCTGGTGCTGAAGCCTATAACTCAAGTGATTGAGGGAGATGTTTGGCAAAATAATTCCAAGTAACTGAATATCCTTAAAGAAACCATCGACGTGTGGAGATTAGAGCCCAGGTACTCGATCTTCAAATAGAAAAAAGATAGAATAACTAGTTATGTAAGAAATTAGTAAAACGACAGGGCTTCTCAACATTTTCTGGAGTTTTTGCTCCCCAGTCGTTGCACGTTGATGTCTTAAAGATAACTTCACTTTGATTCGCGCTCGTTTCTGATCTGTATTTATTATTTTGAACCTTGTGGTGATGGTAAAGGAGCTTCTGTCACATGAATCCCACGGGTTTTGTTGAATATCCCCTCTGTAAACTTAATGTCCACGGTTTGCAAAAGTAGTTTACAATGCTTTTGAATTAATTTCACTTCCTTATTTTGATTATTGTGCTTTATGATAAGGGGTTCATAATAAAGAAAGATGAACCCCTTATCATAAATTTTATAATTCTTTGGAAAAAAAATATTTGTTAGATTTTTCAAAAAATAATAATTGAATTATGTTTTAATTAGATCAATATATGTTAAAATTTACCTTAAATACCAGATGTGTTTGGTATTTTAAAATATTTTTTCTACGTTTATAATTAAAAAAAAAAAAAATCGAACCTTTTGAAATATTTTAGAACTTAGAATAATATTTTAGGATTTTTTAATAATGTTTAGAAGTATTCAATAACCATTCATAATCATCTAGTAACTTCTATAGCTTTTCTTAACCATTTCAAAGTCTACTCAAAGATACATTAGATTTTTAGAATATCTCATAATCTCTAAAACCCATTCAAGGAGTATCTATTAAAACAGAGTTGTTTTTAGATAAGTAAAAGAAAAAAAAATGAAGGATGCTACAATTTCATTCACAAAATATTTTTAAACAACTTAAATAATTTTTTATTTTTAGCTTTATATTTAATATAACTTCTAATATAGTATCATATTTTTCATAAAATTTAATATTTTATAATTATTTTGTAATTTTGAAATAAATATGTAATATTTATTTGGAACTCTTATATAAAATAATAGACTAACTAAATATAACTAACTAGTATAAATATAATATAAATAAGTAATGAACTAAATATAAACTAATTAATGGACTAAATATACCACATTTACTACCAAGCTTCAACTTGTGCCCAATTGTTTTCATTACAAATAATACTTAAAGGCACATTAAATTTCTAAAATTTATCTTTACCTTCTTTTAGATTTATCTAACATTTTTTCTTAAAATTTATGCTCCAATTTAGTAAGATTGCATATCTTCTTCTACAAAATCAATCACCATGACATTATACTTTATTGCCAATTAGTAAGCATAAGCTTATTAGAATTCTAGTTTCAAATGGAAACTTCTCTTAAGATAATAAATCTTTTAATTGTCTTAATTTTCTTGACACCTCTTTCCAAAGTTGAAACTTTAATTAGCTAATTGAATTTAGAAACAATAGATTTCTTGCCACAAAAATCAATATTCTTTTTATATCTTAGTTCTACTATTCTTGATTATAAAACTCTAAAAATTAAAATTAATTATCTCTTCAATAAAAAAAACTCTTAGTATCATTTAATTTATAGTTAAAAAAGTGTAAAAATAATACGCCATCCTTCATTGAATTGGATGTTGCTTCTATGTTTAAATTCCAAATTCTAATAAGTTTATGTTTACAAAAGAACAACAAAATTACTAATATTCATCTATATTTTTAAGACTTTCTTATAAAATATTTGAAAAAAAAAAAAAAAAAAAAAAAAAAAAACCAAAGCCACTTATAAATCATAGAAAAAATTTTACATGGCTTTGACCATGAATTAAAAAGAAGAAGGTTTTGACCATATGAGCCATTGAAACCTCTTATTTTAATGATCAAAACTTGAAATCAAGACTTATAGCCATCAAATGAGATATAAAAATTACTTTTTGGAAAAATTAGCTCCTTTATTATATTTATATAATAAATCTATTATATAAATTATTATATAAAGATCATTAATTTAAATAGTAAATAATAATATTGAAGAATTTCAAAGATAATAAACATTATTATTTTCATCATTAAATTTTTGAAAATTAATTAAAATTTTAATAGAAAAGTAATTCTTATTGAAGATAATAGTTATATTATTATTGAATCGATTATATTTTATGATGATATAACTTTTTAATTTGTCAAAGACAAGAACTTAAAGAATATAAATAAACATGTGAAATATTTCTCAAAGAAATATGATCAAATATATATATATATATATATATATATATATATATATATATATATATATTCAAAAAATAAATAAATGGCTATTGCCAAATGACAAGAAAACTAGAGATTCTTGAAACTATATTAGAATCAAGAAAGAAATTGACAAGAGTGAGGAAGGCCTTATTCTTCCCTCAATATATATATCTTCTAACTAAAAGCTACATAGCTATGTTTTGTAAGACCTCCAATATGTGTCTAACTTATAGGACATGTATCTAATTTATAAAAGAAACTTCTTATATATGCTCTACATATCCAACTTATACCACAAGTGGCTAATATGTACAACATGTGGTCAACTTATTGGCCAAGTTTTCAACCTATCAATCACTTATAGACATATATAAAGACAAAGTAGCATCTATGAAGCTTCTTCATAAGATATTATCAAATTTATCTATTTTTTATCTAATTCTATTACCTCATATTATCTAGATATTATTAAAATAAATATGTACATACATAAAAATAGATTTATAATTCAATTTAGAACTAAGATTTTGAATACTTACTGAAGTGCATATTAACAAGTTAAAATAAAACTATAAGAAATCATTTTCGCTAAGAGAGTTGAAAAAGATTACTTATTTGATATAGTGGTAGTTATTATAAAAAAAATCTTTAAAAATTTGGAATAATCACTAATTATTAAACACTAAATAATATTATGCTAAGAAGGATTATTTATATAAAATCATTAAATGTAAAATTTAATTGTATTATTAAAAAAAATTATTTAATAGAAGACATGTTATCTTGAAAAAGATGTGATAGATAAGACAAGAAAATTGAAGACATAATAGATATTTGAAAAAATATTTATTTAATTTTAAATCTTAATAATAAAGATAAATTATTTCTTGAAGAACTTTATGAAGGTGAATTATTAGATATTCGTTATTACTTGAATATCTCAATTAAGAAAGTAAATTAATTCATAAAATAATTTAGATAAAAATAATTATATATATCTATATATATATATATATCTATATATATATATATATATATATATATATATATATATATTCTTTATAAAAGATTTTTAAAGAAGAGACCAAAGAAAATGATTGAGATGCTATAACAAATAATAGGTAATAAAAAATACCAACAAAAAGTATCAAAAGAATTTTACTATAGTTTATAGATAAGATATAGGGAGATTTAAGCCATCTTTACTAAACTTAAAGAATAATATTGATAGAAAAATATTTATTATGATGTGATTTTATTTATAGAATTATATGAAATTTTTCAAATATATGATAGTATACAACATTGAGAAGTTTTATATGTTATACAACTTTTGACTATTTATTTAAAATAAATTTTTGAATTAAGAATAAATTCTACTAATGGAAGTTGTAGATTTTTGTTTAAAGATATAATTTATTACTATGAATATGTGAGAAAGGTTTATGCACACTATAGAAAATTAGATGTACAAGAAGCTTGTGTATTCTTTGAAAGGTGTGGAATTAAATTATCATTTAATATTATATAGAATCTAAAAAAAAATACAAAAAATAAGTGTGATCATTTACTTATCATAAAAGCATTAATTATAGCTCATAATAGAAAGGTGAAAAAATGGACTCAATTCTTGCCATTTATATTGTAGGTTAATCAAATAATTATAATTTAGTAATAGGATATATGTCTATTAAGCATATGAAAAAGCAAAAACCTATCATGCCAATTAAAAAAAATTAATAACTTTAAGTATGATACTAAAGGAAAAAAGAATTTTTAGCTATTGAGATTCAAAAACTTAAGCAAAAACTAAAAGATAAAAAAATAGCATTAGAAAGGATAAAGAATATTTCTTAATTTAATGAAAATCATCAATTAAGATCAAAGGTAATTGAAAAAAAGTGATTGGATTTTGGTCTATAACAATAGATTGAATAATCAACATAATACTCTTTAAAAAAATTCTAAACATTGATTTGAAATATATATGGTACAAATTGTTTATGATAATGCAACTTTTTAGATAGAACAAGGTTGAAAATATCAATTGTTGAAAAGCAAGTGAAGATATTAAAACAAAAATGTACAAAATTTAATATAGAAGATCTTGTTGAAACTTAAACCTTTCAAGATGAGAAGACAACTTTGATTTGGATAATAAGAATGATAAAGAAGAATTAAATAAAGACACTATATGCATGGTGCAAAGCTAACAAAAAGATTCAATTTATTTGGTACATACAAGAATATGCACAAGTTGAGAGGTGGTAGATGTTGTATTATAACATGGCTATTAGGTGAAAGAAAAAAATTAAGATTATATTATAGAAGAACTTAAGTATAAAAAAAATAATAATAATATATTTTTTAAAAATATAGATAAAAAATAGAAAGGTAGTAAAAAAAATTAGTATTGATGTTGTCTTTTTGTAAAAATATTTCTATTTACTAATAGGACCATAAATTAAAAAAAATAAGATAGATTACCAAAAATAATATTTAGAAATATTTAAGTTAAAATAAAGTATAGCTTTCAAGAAAAATTAGCTAAAAAATCCTTAGATTGATATCCAAAGAAGATTAGTTGTGAACTAAGATTAAAACCAAATCCTAAGGAATAAAAATATGTACATGTGGTAATTGTGGTATTTTCTTTGTTGATTGGAGAATGAGACTAGAAAATTGACTTCATAGGTTTTTTTTTAGCATAAGATTGAAAGAATATGCTTATGAATTCTTTAAGCTTATTTGTAATTTCTTTAAAATATTTTTACAATTTCTTTAAATTTTTTTTATGATTTTTTTATAATTTTGTTAGTATTTTATGAAGATTTTATTAGAATTGTAAAAATTCAATAGTAATTTATTTAGGAATCTATTTAGATTGTTAAGCTCTTCTTTTATTTCAAAATATAAGTTTATCTTCTATAGCAAAGTATTTGATACATTTTCAAATAAGAGAATACATAATACAACAATGTGCATGTTTAGAACAACATGATCTTTTTAAATATATGACATTTTAGATATAAATCTTA